CGGGTCGGCAGTAGAGGGAGCAAACCCAAGAGCCGCAAGTGTAGTCCTCAGTGTGTCGTGCCACTCACGCGGTGCCTAGTGGAGACCGTAGATTGGCCGCCGGAGGCTCCACTGGGTACCAGGAGGGAAAGACCCAGTGAAGCCAGGTGGGCGGCGCAGCCAGATCTCCTCGTGCAGGCTGCCCTGCAGGAAAGCTGTGCTGAAGTCAAGAGAGTGAAGCTCGTAGTCACGGTGAGCAGCTATGTGCAGCAGTACCCGAAGAGTGGTCATCTTTGGGGTGGGAGAGAAGGTCTGAAAGTAGTCAACTCCCTGCCGCTGACTGAAGCCACGAGCCACGTAACGCGCCTTGAAGACAGGCGGAGAACCCGGCGGCCGCTTCACCCTGAAAATTCACATGCCACTGACGATGTTCGCCCCAGGCGGGGGAACCTCGTCAACGTAGGTGCTTGTGGACTTCCAGGAAGCCATCTCTGCGTCCATAGCTGCCTGCCACTGAGAGGAGTAGGGACCCTCTATCGCCTCCGCGTAAGAGCGCGGAGTCGGGATGTCAAGTGCATCCGGGTCTCCCTCAGGGGTAAGCAGTACGGACACGAGATGAGGTGAAGCAGCAGCTAGACACTGGAACTCCTCCTGCCTGTCCTCAAGGACGTCCGTGCCGAGGGCACACTCACCCCCGACGGACGGAGGACAGACAGACTCAGACTCAGCAACAAGACTGGCTGCGTAGTCTAGGCGACAGCGAGCAGCAAAGTCGACGAGCTCAGCAACTAGGGCAGACGCAGCAGTGGACTCAAAGGAAGGGTTAGTAACAATAGTAGCAAGGAGACTCGTGACAGTAGGACTGGCAGCACGAAGAGAGTCCGACTCCGGGTCGGCAACAGCTGGAAGAGAAGTGTGAGGATCTAGGATCGAGTTCAGAAAAGAGAATGAGAATTGAGTCGAATTGAATTGAATTGAATGTCCACCTGGGTACAACATGATGCTATATATAGGCTCGACACAAGGCCCCGTAACCAGGTGTTACGCGAAGGTTCCGC